AGATACATGAGACTAAATGGGCAGCTCCTGTCCAGAGGCAAGATGAGAAGGCAGAGAGGATCAGGAGCTGACTGAATGGACAGGGGAAATCCAGGGTAGAAAAGAGGAGGGTGCTGTCACAGTATAGGGAGAGCAACTAGGGTCACGTAACAATGTGTGTATAAATTTTTGTATGAGAGACTAACTTAAATTGTAAACGTTCACTTAAAGTACAACAATAAAACAAACAAAAAAAGAAATATATTTTCTTAAATGCAGTTTTATAATTTTCTAGTTCAGCCAGATATTGAAGAGACAGAAGTTAAAGACATTTTAATAAAAAATAATTCACATTTGATCTTTATTAAATGACCATTTCTCAAGATTAAAAAAGTATTTTCAACAGAACTTCACATGGTCCAGAAGTTTAAGCTTATTTTCTAAAATGTAGTTCCATGACTTATTTGACAAAGAAACTTAATTTCGGAAATTGATTCTCCTATGACTAAAAAAGAACACTGGTTTGGGAGCCTGAACACCTGAGTTCTGTCCCTGTCTTGGCCATTAACCTGGGGAGGCTTTGGATAGCTCACTTACCCCTCTAAGTGTTAGTTACTTCCTCTGTGGAACTATCAGTGACTCCCAAGTGCTCAACTGCATCAGAATCATCTAGGTGCTTGGTACAAATATAGATTTCTGGGACCATCCCAGCCCTGCTGAATCAGATTTTCTGACACTGGGGTCCAAGAATCTGTCTTTTTTTAAATTTAATTTAATTTTTTATTGTAATTTAGATGAAGGTTTACAGAACAAATAGTTACTCATTAAACAGTTGGTACACATATTGTTTTATGACAATGGTTAACAGCCCCACGACATGTCAACACTCTCCCTTCTCAGCCTTGGGTTCCCTATTACCAGCTTTCCTGTCCCCTCCTGCCTTCTAGTCGTTGTCCCTGGACTGTTGTGCCCCATTAGTCTCATTTTGTTTTATGGGGCTGTCTAATCTTTGACTGAATGGTGAACCTCGAGAATGACTTTATTACCGAGCTAAAAGCATGCCTGGAGCCATAGTCTTGGGGTTTCTCCAGTCTCTGTCAGGCCAGTAAGTCTGGTCCTTTTTTGTGAGTTAGAATTTTGTTCTACATTTTTCTCCAGCTCTGTCCAGGACCCTCTGTTGGGATCCCTGTCAGAGCAGTCAGTGGTGGTAGCTGGGCACCATCTAGTTGTACTGGACTCAGTCTGGTGGAGACCGTGGTAGTTGTGGTCCATTAGTCCTTTGGACTAATCTTTCCCTTCTACCTTGTTTTCTTCATTCTCCCTTGCTCTCGAAGGCGTGAGACCAGTGGAGTATCTTAGATGGCCCCTCACAGGCTTTTAAGACCCCAGACGCTACTCACCAAGGTAGAATGTAGAACATTTTCTTTATAAACTTGGCTATGCCAATTGAGCTAGATGTTCCCCAAGACCATGGTCCCCACAGCCCTCTGTCCAGCAATTCAGTCCCTCAGGGAGTTTGGATGTGACTATGGAGTTTCCATGACCTTTCCTTATACAAGTTGTGCGGGCTTCCCCAGTATTGTGTACTGTCTTACCCTTCACCAAAGTTACTACTTTTCTGGTGTCTATTTAGTATTCCCCCCTACCCCTCCCATCCCTCGTAACCAGCAAAGTTTTTTTTTTTGTGTGTGTAAACTTTTTCATGAGTTTTTACAGTAGTGGTCTCATACAATATTTGTCCTTTTGTGACAGGAATCTGTATTTTTAATTATTCCGGTGATTATGATATAAAGTTAAGTTTGGGAGTTACTGGATTTAATGACCTCTAGGGTCCCTCACGGGGGCAGTGGTGGTTCAGTGGTAGAATTCTCACCTTCCATGTGGAGGACCTGCATTCAATTCCTGGCCAGTGCACCTCATGCACAGCCACCACCCTGTCAGTGGAGGGTTGCCTGTTGCTATGATGCTAAACAGGTTTCAGCAGAACTTGTGACCTAAGATGGACTAGGAATAAAGGCCTGGCAAACTACTTCTGAAAATCAGCCAATGAAAACCCTGTGGATCACAACAGTCCAATCCCCAACCAGTCATGGAAATGGTGCAGGACCAGGCAGCATTTCGTTCTATTGTTCATGAGTCGGGGGATGACTCCACAGTAGCTAACAACAGGGCCTCTCACAGCAATAAAAATCTGATTTCTTATTTCTATTCCTTCTATCACTGTTTCTTCTATCTCTGATACTAGACATTGTGCTCAAAAAACAAATAAGCAATAAAAAACCAAGACCATGATTTAATCATCTTTATATCCTTCAGCACCTACGTAGTGTCTGGTATGTGGTAGGCATTGAATAAATATCTGAAGAATTAATCAATGGTGATTAAATAAATAAATGTTATTTAATGTAAATCCCAATCACCTATGAATAGAGAAATCTAAAGAGAGAAAATTTAAACCTTTGCTTAATATAATCTTGCCTTCCTTGTCTGCTCTATTACATATTTCAAATTAATGAGTTATAGGAATGAGGTTAAGGAGCCCTGGTAGTGCAATGGTTAAGAGCTTGCCTGCTAACCGAAAGGTCAGCAGTTCGAATCCACCAGCTGCTCTTTGGAAACCCTATGGGGCAGTTCTACTTTGTCCTATAGGGTCGCTATGAGTTGGAATTGACTCGACGGCAATGGGTTTGGTTTCTGGAATGCATATTTAAAGACTCAGTAGGAAGGTGGTTGAGATTCTCCAGTGGACTAGACAATCCCACAGTATTTCCCAGTGGGGGTGATAAATGACAGGGTCTCAGGATTCAGCAGCAGTGGGTTGTTCTCTCCTTGACTTTTCCAGTCCAGCAAATGCCATATCCTTTCTAGGTGACGTCTTTGGGGTCAAACCCTAGGCCTCTGAAACTGCAAAGGACACTCCAGGTTTCTGTGGGGGCCCTAGCAGGTGGGAAGAAGCACTGGTCTTCTGTTAAAAGTTACCCATAAATTCCCCAGCAGTGGGTGTCAGCCGAGCAAAGCATCTTTTTTAGTCAAGACCCCCAGGGTGTCGGATGCCCACAGTCCCTTTTCCCACCCCCTCCTCTGCACTCCACTGACCACCCTGGAGCCTTGCTGGTTCAGACACTGTCCGCTGGCCTTGGAAGGTACCGGCTCAGGATAAAATCTGTCACAGGGGTGGGCAATTTAGCCAGCGGGAGGTAGAGGAGTTTGGCATCTAGGCCAGGATTGTATCGGACGCGGGGGCTCCTGGACACAACGGCGTGCTCCATGCTGTTGGTGACATCACTGATCTTTGGACTGGCCAACTGCATCGTGTTTTTAGTCTTTTGAGTATCTGTTTGAGGGCACGGGGAAAAAATTAAAAAAAAAAAAACGCTGTTATTCTTCATAAAAGATAGTTTCATCTGAATTCCATCTGATCCCTGATCAGACCTGCCCCATCCTCCAGGATGCCTTTATGCACACATTCCCTAAATAATCTTCTCTCTCTCCCTGCATTCAACAGTTGTGCATTGAATTCCTGCTATTGCATTAGATGAGTGATTAGAAGACTTGTGTCCAGTTCTGCCACTTATTAGTTGTGTGACCTTGAGCTTAAACTTTCAGCATTGGTAAAATGGGGACAATAATACCTGCCTTGGAGAATAATGAAGATGATTAATAGCAAGTTAGGTGGTGAGGGAGGACAGGATAGAACACATGTGTTTATAAGCACATAGAAAAATTGGAAGAAAATAAAAATGTTTGGCTGATGGGATTCCTGTATACTAGAGCCTTTTTTTCCTTCTGTGTGCAGTTGGCCCTCTATATCTGCAGGTTCTGCATCTGCAGATTCAACCAACTGCAGATCAGGAAAAAAAAAGCCTTTTTTTTTCTTGTTGTTATTCCCTAAACAATACAGTATAATAACTATTTACATAGCATTTACATTGTATTAGGTATTATAAGTAACCTATAGATGATTTCTGCCATGTGTCTGTCAGTTTGTTGTACTGTGGTGGCTTGGGTGTTGCTGTGATACTGGAAGCTTTGCCATTGGTATTTCAAATATTAGCAGGGTCAGCCTTGGTGGACAGGTTTCAGCTGAGCTACCAGACTAAGACAGATCAGGAAGAAGGACCTGGCAGTCTACTTATGAAAAAATTGGCCAGTGAAAATCTTATGAATAGTAGTGGAACATTGTCTGATATAGTGCTGGAAGATGAGCCCCTCAGGTTGGAAAGCACTCAAAAGATGACTAGGGAAGAGCTGCCTCCTTAAAGTAGAGTTGACCTTCATGATGTGGACGGAATCAAGCTTTTGGGACCTTCATTTGCTGAGGTGGCAAGACTCAAAATGAGAAGAAACAGCTGCAAACATCCATTAAAAATCGGAACACAGAATGTACGAAGTATTAATCTAGGAAAATAGGAAGTTTTCAAAAATAAAACAATGCATAAAGATTGATATCCTAGGCATTAGTGCGCTGAATTGGACTGATATTGGTCATTTGGAATCAGACAATCATATGGTCTGGTATGCCAGGAATGACAAATTGACGACAAATGGCGTCGCATTCATTGTCAAAAAGAACATTTCAAGATTTATCATGAAGTACAACGCTGTCAGTGTTAGGATAATATTCATACACCTACTAGGAAGACCAGTTAATACAGACTATAATTCAAATTTACATGCCAACCACTAAGGCCAAAGATGAAGAAACTAAAGATTTTTACCAACTTCTGAAGTCTGAAATTAATCAAACGTACAATCAAGATGCATTGATAATTACTGGCCATTCGAATGCGAAAGCTGGAAAGTTGGAAACAAAGAAGAAGGAATCGTAGTTGGAAAATACGTTCTTGGTGATAGAAACGACGCTGGAGATCGCATGATGGGATTTTGCAAGACCAACAACTTCTTCATTGCAAATACCTTTTTTCAACAACATAAACAGCTATTATACACGTGGACTTGCCAGATGGAATACACAGGAATCAGATAGATTACATTTGTGGAAAGAGACGATGGAGAAGCTCAATATCATCAGTCAGAACAAGGCCAAGGGCCGACTACAGAACAGAACATCAATTGCTCATATGCAAGTTGAAGTTGAAGTTGAAGAAAATTAGATCAAGTCCACAAGAGCCAAAGTGCAACCTTGAGTATATCCCACTTGAATTTAGAGACCATCTCAAGAATAGATTTGATGCATTGAACACTAATGACCAAAGACCAGATGAGTTGTGGAATGACATCAAGGACATCATACATGAAGAAAGCAAAAGGTCATTAAAAAGACAGGGAAGAAAGAAAAGACCAAAATGGATGTCAGAAGAGACTCTGAAACTTGTTCTTGAACAATGAGTAGCAAAAGCGAGTGAAAGAAATGATGAAGTGAAAGAGCTGAACAGAATATTTCAAAGGGTGGCTTGAGAAGACAAAGTATTATAATGAAATGTGCAAAGAGCTGGAGGTAGAAAACCAAAATGGAAGAACACGCTTGGCATTTCTCAAGCTGAAAGAACTGAATAAAAAATTCAAGCCTCAAGTTGCAATATTGAAGGATTTTGTAGGAATAATATTAGACAATGCAGGAAGCATCAAAAGAAGATGGAAGGAATACAGAGTCACTGCACCAACAAGAATTGGTCAACGTTCAGCCATTTCAAGAGGTAACATATGATCAAGAACCGATGGTACTGAAAGAAGAGGTCCAAGCTGCACTGAAGGCATTGGCAAAAAGCAAGGATCCAGGAATTGACAGGATACCAACTGAGATGTTTCAACAAATGGATGCAGCGCTGGAAGCACTCACTTGTCCATGCCTAGAAAAATTGGAAGACAGCTACCTGGCCAACTGACTAGAAGAGATCCATATTTGTACTCATTCCAAATAAAGGTGATCCAACAGAATGTAGAAATTACTGAACAATATCATTAATATCACATGCAAGTAAAATTTTGCTGAAGATCATTCAAAAGCATTTGCAGCAGTACATCAACAAGGAACTGCCAGAAATTCAAGCCATATTCAGAAGATGACGTGGAAAGGGGGATATCAGTGTTGACGTCAAATGGATCCTGGCTGGAAGCAGAGAATACCAGAAAGATGTTTACCTGTGTTTTACTGACTATACAAAGGCATTCGACTGTGTGGATCATAACAAATTATGGATAACATTGTGAAGAATGGGAATTCCAGAACACTTAATAGTGCTCATGAGGAACCTGTACATAGACCAAGAGGTAGTCACTCCAACAGAAAAGGGGACTACTGCATGATTTAAAGTCAAGATAGGTGTGCGTCAGGATTGTATCCTTTCACCGTACTTATTCAATCTGTATGCTGAGCAAATAATCTGAGAAACTGGACTATATGAAGAAGAATGGGACATCAGGATTGGAGGAAGATTCATTAACAACCTTCGATATGCAAATGTCACAAGCTTGCTTGCTGAAAGCTAAGAGGACTTGAAGCACTTACTGATGAGGATCAAAGACTACAGCCTTCAGTATGGATTACACCTTAACATAAAGAAAACAAAAATCCTCAAATGGACCAATAAGCAATATCATGATAAATGAAGAAAAGATTGAAGTTGTCAAGTATTTCATTTTACTTGGATCTACAATCAACGCCCATGGAAGCAGCAGTCAAGAAATCAAATGATGCATTGGGTTGGCCAAATCTGCTGCAAAAGATCTCTTTAAAGTGTTAAAAAGCAAAGATATCACTTTAAGGACTAAGGTATGCCTGTTCCAAGCCATGGTGTTTTCAGTCGCCTCATATGATGGGAAAGCTGGACAATGAATAAGGAAGATCGAAGAAGAACTGATGCCTTTGAATTATGGTGTTGGCGAAGAATATTGAATATCCTATGGACTGCCAGAAGAACAAACAAATATGTCTTTGAAGAAATACAGCCAAAATGCTCCTCAGAAGCAAGGATGGAGAGACTTTGTCTCACATACTTTGGACATGTTATCAGGAGGGATCAGTCCCTGGAGAAGGACATCGTGCTTGGTAAAGTAGAGGGTCAGCAAAAAGGAGGAAGACCCTCAACGAGATGGGTTGACACAGTGGCTGCAACAATGGGCTCAAGTATAACAACAATTGTGAGGATGGCTCAGGACCAGGCAGTGTTTCATTCTGTTGTACATAGAGTTGCTATGAGTTGGAACCGACTGGACGGCACCTAACAACAGAGATGATTTAAAGTATATGGGAAGATGTGCGTAGGTTATATGCAAATACTTCACCATATTATATAAGGGACTTGAGTGTCCGTGGATTTTGGTAAACAAGGGGGTCCTGGAACTAATCCCGCATGGATACCGAGGGTGGACTGTACTTCCTAGCGTTTCCAGATGTTCTACAAAAGCATGCCAGGAAACAATGTTATTAAATAATAATAATACTTTTCCTGCCTTGGTCATAAGACCACTGTGGGACTCGAATGATCTAAGGCACAGACAGGCACCTTGTAAGGCATTAACAACTGTGACGGGTTATTCTGTCTGCATTGTGGACATGGGGGTGGTGTTGGGTGCAGAGCACCCAAGTGGTCCAAGTTGGTCAATGCTTACAACCTAAATAGGAGATAGGCCACGCTGTGCATTGTAAAGGGGCCAACCTGTGCCTTCGCCCTAGGGCTTTGGGACAGAGGCAGGTCGGTGGGACTCATACTTCAACGAAAGTCCAAGCACTCCTGGATTAAATGGCACCTGAGAGTCAAACTTCCAGGATATGGGATTAAGACTTTAAAACAAAGGGGGAGCCAAAGCTTCCCTGACTCTAGCGGGTGGTTCAGGAAGGCCGGGGATTCACTCATACAAAAGAGAACACCTGAAGATACCACTGGAGTGAGGGCATTGGTGGGTGGTTGAGGGAAGGGAACCCTTTTAAATGAGGCAAGGAATAATGTTGTTCAAGTCTCCTTCGCCTCATGCTTCTTCACCCCAGACTCTGAAGAACTCCCTCTCTGTTTCCTGAAGAGGAAACAGCTGTGGTGAAAATACCAAACTACATTTTGGGGTCCCCAAAAGAGCTATGCTAATTTAAAAGCCAGACAGCCAGACTGTCCCGAGATTGATAAGGACTTAGGAAGCCAACCTTGGTACTCCAGCCTTGGACCTAACACAGACCACTACCAGCAGGTCCAAGGCAGGGAGCATTCAAGATGAGCAGGGCTATGCACACTCTCCTGGAGCCAGGGAGACTGTGGGCTGACAAGGTCCAGGCAAGCTGACCTGAATAGTTGGCTTTGGAACTGGGCTCTGACAAGTGGGGAGAAGCTGCTTAGGGAGTGGGGTGAAAGAAGGTACCCAGACAGGGGAAGCGGTGTGAGGCACATTCTTTCATTATTCACTCAGCTCTTTATCGAGCTCCTATTTTCTGCTTGGCATCCTGCTAGTCACTGTGTGGGAGAGGAGACAGAGTTGGCCAGCTAGCCCCTGCCACTCTCCTAGATAGTGAGGAAGAATGTAAGCTTTGGATTTGGTCACCTAGGAAAGCATTTTTGTTATTGTGGGTTTAAGCAAGGTAAAGTCTATGAGGTATCAGGGACCAGGCTTTGACACTTTGTATGAACCCAACAGCTGAATTTCTGTTCTCCTCTCCTTTCCTAGGAATAGGTCCTGGACTTCTGATCTAGCCCCTCCCCAAGAAGGGCTAAACCAAAACAATTGCCACGGAGTCCACTCCGTCTCATGGCAACCACATGCGTATCAGAGTAGAAATGTACTCTATAGAGTTTTCAATGGCTGATTTTTCAGAAGTAGATTGCCAGGCCTTCCTTCTTTCCAAGGTGCCTCAGAGTGACCTTGAACCTCCAACATTTCATTTAGCAGCTGAGCTTGTTAACTGCACCACTCAGGGACATCCTAGCTTCTTTAAGTTCCTCTTGCCCCAGAGCCTTCAGGCAATTGTCCTTTCTCCAGAGAAAACTTCCCTACCCACCCGCCCTGTCATGGATTGAATTGTGTCCCCCAAAAATATGTGGCAACTTGGTTAGGCCATGATTAACAGTATTGTGTGGTTGTCCTCCATTTTGTGATTGTAATTTTATGTTAAAGAGGATTAGGTTGGGATTGTAACACCCTGATTAAGGTCACATCCTTGATCCAATGTAAAGGGAGTTTTCCTGGGTTGTGGCCTGCACTACCTTTTGTCTTAAAAGAGATAAACGGAAAGGGAAGCAAGCAGAGAGGGAGGGACCTCATACCACCAAGAAAGCAGTGCCAGGAGCAGAGCGTGTCCTTTGGACCTGGGGTTCCTGCGCAGAGAAGCTCCTAGTCCAGGGACAGATTGATGACAAGGACCTTCCTCCAGAGCCAACAGAGAAAGCCTTCCCCTGGAGCTAGTACCTTGAATTTGGACCTCTAGCATACTAGACTGTGAGAGAATAAATTTCTCTTTGTTGAAGCCATCCACTTGCGGTATTTCTGTTATAGCAGCACTAGATGACTAAGACACCCCTTTTTCCACTTCCCAGACACCTGATACTTATTCTTCCTCAAAGTCAACTCAGAAAAGCCCTCCCTACGCTGTATTCTAAATTGGGGCCCTGACGCACAGCCCTTCTCTCTTTAAAAACTTGTGCTTCTCCTCCATGGCACTTAACCCACATTTGTCATTCAACGTGTGTGTATTTATTAACTGGGCCTTACGCTACATGCCAGCAGCAACCTCGGCTGTTCTACTCACTCTGACTCCCCACTCCTGCCCAGTGCCTGGCACATGGCAGGCTCTCAGCAAAATATCTATTAAATGAATAAATGACTTTCCTGGTTTTGGTGTCTTGGCTTTTTACTCTATTGATGTATGATGTCCAGGGGAGCACATCACTAAAATTAACTCTTTTGTGCAGTTAAATAGTTCCTGGGTGGTGCAGACGGTTAAGCGCTTGACTACTAACTAAAAGGTTGGCATTTCTAACACACCCAGAGGCGCGTCTTGGAAGAAAGACCTGGCCATCTGCTTCTGAAAGATCACAGCCTTGAAAACCCTGTGGAGCACAGTTCTACTCTGCACACATGGCGTTGTCATGAGTCAGAGTCACCTCCTCAGCAACTGATGGGCAGTTCAATACTTGCCACTGATTTGATCAGTTTATTACATTTAGCTCATCCAGAGTTTCAGGTATATTTTAACACTTCATCACTTTGAATTTTGCATAATTAATATCTAAGGATCTCTTTGCAATACAAGAACTTATAGTTTGTAGTTACCAGTGTAATGGATAAAAGGAGGCTATCCTATCAGTCTAAAGGAGGATAAGAATACTAGCAAACTTATCAAATCATTATTACCATGGTCCAGGTGCTACTCTAAGCATCTTAAACATATTAACTCATTTAACTCTCACAACCCATTACAAACGAGAAAACTGAGAGGTTAAGTAATTTGCCTAAGGCTGCCTGGGTGGTACAAATAGTAAGGGCTTGACTACTAGCTGAAACGTTGGTCGTTTGAACCACCTAGATGCACCTCAGAAGACAGGCCTGATGATCTGCTTCTGAAAAAATCACAGCCTTGAAAAGCGTATGGAGCAGTTCTACTCTGCTCGCATGGGCTCACCATGAGTCAGAACTGACTCCACAGCAACTGACAATAACAAGTAATTTGCCCAAGGCAAGTAAGCAAGTTGAAATTTGCACTCAGGCAGCCCAGTTCCAGAGCTTAATCACGACAGTAAATTGTCTCTTAGAGATGTTCATGAAGACCAAAGAAAAGAGAAAAACACATCTGGATTAAGGAAATTTGTAACTAGGCTATGGAGGTCCAGAGGGAACAGGGATGGGCGAAGTCTTTTCACTCTGGCCAATGGAAACCTTCTGACCGAGCAGACTGCCAGCCCCACCTTCTTGGCTAGTGGTAGGGCTAGCAAACTGAAGAGGTGAGATGCCTGCAGAGCTGGTGCCAGCTAATTGTGCCAGAGGCGGTTTCTACGGGCAGGTCAGAGGTGACCCCACACAAGGGCAGCTACAGAGGAGGCTCTGAGAGGCTACTGTCTCTCCAGGCACTTGGAGAGAGCTAGGCAGTTTTGTGAATTATCCCCTTCTGAAATCCACTGGCTCAGCTTTGAGATTAGACACTTCTGAGTGAGTATGGGAGACCTGGTGGCACAGTGGTTAAAGCATTTGGCTGCTAACCTAAAGGTCAGCGGTTTGAACCCACCAGCCACTCTGTGGGAGGAAGATGTGGCAGTATGCTTCTGTAAAGATTTACAGCCTTGGAAACCCTATGGGGCAGTTCTGCTCTGTGCTTTAGGGTTGCTATGGGTTGGAATGACTCAACAGCAGGGATTTGGTTTGGGTTTTCCATGAATATGGGACCTTCTCTCCCCTACCAGGAGGTGCTCCAATAGACATTTTGGTCAATTCCTCCTCCACTGTATCTTCAGGCCACCCCCTCCTCACATTCCCCAACAGCCAAGGCTCCCTGCATCCCCCCAGACTGGAAGAATTGCACAGTTTTTTAGGGGATAGTAAACAGCTGTGATGCCGCTCCTCCACCCTTGAAAACACCTGAGATGCACAGGAGGTCCTCAGCTCAAGGAGAGAAGGGAGCTGCCTGGAGACCCTTCCTTTTAAATACCTATGTGCTCTTTCCCTCTTTATTTAACAGCAGTTGGAAGAAAGCTCCGGTGATCTACTTCCCTATGGATCATAGTTCTATTCTGACACACATGGGGCCACCACGAGTCAGAATCGATTTGATGGCAACTGGTTTCAGTGTGTGCAAGACACTTCACAGATATTAATCCTCTTAGCAACCCTGATATGTAGGCACTATCATTAGCTTCATTTTATAGATGAGAAAATTGAGGCACAGGGAGACTAGGAAACATGCCCAAAGTCTCCTAGTTGGTAAATGGCAGTGCCAGGATTTGAACCCAGGCAGTCTGGCTCTGGAGCCCTGGTGGTGCAGTGGTTAGGAGTTCAGGCTGCTCCAAGAGACAGAAAGGGCCACATAAACCAGAGACTGCATCAGCCTGAGACTAGAAGAATTAGATGGCGCCCAGCTACCACCACTGACCACCCTGACAGGGAACACAACAGAGAGTCCCTGACGGAGCAGGAGAAAAGTGGAGTGCAGAACTCAAATTCTAGTAAGAAGACCAGACTTAACGGTCCGACTGAGATGGAGGAACCCCAGAAAGCATGGCTCTCAGGTTCTCTGTCAGCCCAGAACTAAAACCATTCCTGAGGCTGACTCTTCAGACAAAGATTAGACTGGACTATGGAACATAAAATGATACTCATAAAGGGTGTGCTTCTTAGCTCAAGTAGATACATGAGACTAAATGAGCAGCTGCTGTCCGTAAGTGAGATGAGAAAGCAGAGAGGGTCAGGAGCTGGTTGAATGGATATGGGAAATCAGGGGTGGAAGGGAGGAGTGTGCTGTCATAATATAGGGAGAGCAATTAGGGTCACATAACAATGTATGTAAAAAATTTGTATGAGAGACTAACTTGAATTGTAAACTTTCACTTAAAGTACAACAATAAAATTAAAAACAAAAAAAGAGTTCAGGCTGCTAACTAAAAGGTTGGCAGTTTGAATCCACCAGCCACTCCTTGGAAACCCTATGGGGCAGTTCTACTCTGTCCTGTAGGGTGGCTATGAGTCAGAATTGACTCGACGGCGATGAGTATAGTCTGGCTCCAGCAGCCCTGCTCTTTATCAGTTCTCTGTACTCATCTCAGTGCATTCTCACCTGCTTCATCTGCAAAATTAAGTTTGTGGGGGACAGGTGCCAGGACTGGGCAGCATCTCTCCAGCCTCCGCCCCCCCACCAGTGGCTATGGTTCTGCCACTCCCAACAGTTGCTTACTTGGTCTCTTATTCTCAAACACCACCTGTACCACTAGCCGTGTAACCCCTCAGCCTCTGCCTCATCATCTGTAAGGTGAAAGCAAGCCCGTGACCCTCAAAGTGTCCCTGTCTTTCTCAGACACCCCTCTCCTGCCTGGGGAACTTACAGATGCGGAAGTACTCGTCTCCGTAGCTATCCCGGGTCTCCTGAGGCAGCCGCTCCCACAACTTTTGCAGGTGAGACTCTATGCCCTTGTTGCCCAGAATGGATGTCCGGTAGTTTCCCGGCTCAATGATGCTGACTTTTACCCCAAAATAGTGGAGCTCGCGCCTGGGAAAGAAGAGTTGGGCTCAGTCTGGGGCCTCAAGATTATAGCGGGTCCTCAAGGAGGGTCACCTCTGATGCCTCTGGAGGAGCCTGTCTCCCCAGGAACCTGGAAGGTGCACCTCTCAACCTCTGCACCAGGCCAGGCATTGCCTACATGAAATAAGGCCTTCCTTAGGGTCTTGGCCCTTTCCCAAGTCTGGTCGTTGGTGGCTGGGCAATTTACATTAGGCAAATTTAGTGGGGAGGAAGTCAACTACAGAATCTAGGCCAACGCCTTGCCTCCTTCCAGGTTCCTCCCACTCCCAGCCCCACACCCAACACCCACAAAGGGAGAGGGGCTCTATGCGAGGCCTACATCCTCTTATGAGGGTCTCCCCACAGGCACCACGTAGGCCTCTCTGTCTGTTTTGGGGGAATCTCCCTCTTACTCTTACAGGCACAAACAGGATTTCACTTATTCTGGGATAGGCAGACTGACTGCCTCCATCACCACCACCTCGTCTCTGAATCCCTTTTTCTCTCGGTCCTTGAGGAAGGCCCCCTGAGGTCTAGTTTTCCTCCTGCTATTGTTTTAGCTTCCTCCCTCCAGAATCCCCCTACCCACATGCTATCACCCCAGCCTTCTCTTCCTGAGTTGAACCCTCCAGGACTCCCACCCAGAGTGGTCTGGCACCAGGGCCCAGTCACCTGATGCTGTCAGAGAAGGCCTCAACACCAAACTTGGAGACACAGTAGCCACCACCGACGATAGCTACGCGACCACCAGAGCTGGACATGTTGATGACTCTGCCCCGGGCTTTCTTGACCATGGGCAACATGTGGAGGGTCACATCAATCAGTCCCACTAGGTTCACATTGATGACCTTCACATAGTCCTCCTTGGTCAGCCATTCATTGGGACCACTGGGCAGGCCCACTCCAGCGTTGTTCACTAGGGCCCAGAGACCTGGGGGCGAGATGCAGGGAGAGAGAACCAGGTCAGAATCAGCAGTGCCTATAGGAAAGGACCATGGTCCACTACACACCAGCTCAGGGCTGCTGAGAATGGTTGTGAACAGGTACACAAGAAACAAGACAGGCAGACTTGGGTCACAGGGTCTGGGACTATGATAGCCTAAAGGAAAATGTGCCTTTTACTAATTAGTTTGTCCAGAAGGGGAACCTTTTTCTGATTCACAGAATGTCTGCCAGAGAGCTGGGGCCTTGCCAGCTACAATCCAGGATTTAGCTAATAGTACTTAAGCTATTATCTCTGGGTTAAGAGATATTTCATATCAATGAATTAATGTTTCAATTCCTGCCCCCCTCCCAAACTTTCCCCTCTCTATTCACCTAAGTATAAGACACCAACTCTATTTCATGTTTTACCAAAATCCATCCATCCACCCATCTATCCATTCATTCATTCATACATTGACACATTCATTCATTCATGCATCTACTCTGTGACAATTACAGGGGAAGGCGCTAGAGCCACAAAATAAACAAGACAGGGTCTTATCCCTTAAGGAGCTCACAAACCAGAGAGGAGATAAATAATATTTATAAATAAATATATAAAATATTTACACAAAACAATTATTAAAAAGTGTGATAAGAGCTCTCTTTGAGATATTTAAATTACTAGTACCAGTTGCTGTTGAGTCGATTCCAACTCAGGGCAACTTCACGTGTGTCAAAGTAGAACTGTGCTCCATAAGGTTTTCAGTGGTGGATTTTTCTGAAGTAGATTGCCAGAACTTTCTTCCAAGACACCTCTGGGAAGAGTCAAACCGCCAACCTTTGAGTTAGCAGCCAAGCATGTTAACTGTTTGCACTACCCAGGAACTCCATATTTAAATTGGGTTGGTATAAGTGAAGGGAAATAATGCTAAATATTGTCATTCAACCCTGCAGGGGCCCAGGGTTGAAGAGCCTCCAGTTCTAGTCCTAGTTCTACCTCCAGCCATGCACATGCCACTTCCCCTGTGTAGGCCTCAGAGTCTTCATCAGATTGGACTACAACTGTTGTTTCCAGTCTGTGTTTTGCAAGCCTGAGGACTTTCCAGGCTGAGTCCCAGAATCTGCTAGGAGAGGGAGAGGCTCTACCTTCAATTGTTTTACATATTGAACTACCAAGTAAAATTCCACTTGGAGGGGGAGAAGAACTTTGCTGCTAAAAGCATGTTGTATAAACCTCTAGACGATCTCCAAGGGCCCCCTCCTAGCTTTTTCATTCAAGGATCCCACATGCCCCCACTGCTGCAGCTCCTTCCCTTTCCCCACCTTTGCCTCCACTGACAAGAACACTTTCCACACTCTCCCGCGGGCAGGTGGGTAGAGACATCAGTTATAGTTCATCCCTTCCCCTAGGTCTGGGGTCCCCACATAAGCCATGCCCCCACCCTATCTTCCTGCCTTCCAGTAATTAGAGACCCCAGGAGACCAACTGGCTGGCAGGACTCAGAACCTTCCCAGCGGGAGGGGACTCTCTCATCTTACAGAGGAGAAAATGAGGTCCCCCGAGACCCAAAGACCATGCAACTCAAGTTTTCTCTGTGGAGAGAGTACTCACACTCACCACTACTTCTGATCATCCCTGGTAATCTGCTGTAGGAGAGGATGTACCACCTGCTGCAGAACTATGATCTCATAAGATAAATTAGCAGCAGTTATATTGATGAAATCTACAAGATTAGATAGTGTCTTAAGCCAGGCTCTTTAGAGATATAAAAGAGAGAAGCAAACTAAGATGAAAAATGAAGCAGGGAGTTACTATCCGGCTGCTCCTGGACCCCTGGACTCTACTCTCCCACTTGTGTGGATGGACCCCCAGACTAGTTCTTTAGGACTTTCCCCAGGCTGCTGCTTCTGCAACACAGCCATCCTGTTCCTCCATTTCTTCTACTCACGCCTTGTGTACAGGAAGTTTCTACAGCTAGTTTCCACACAGTCCTTGTCCAGCCCCAGTCCACAGCCTCCTTTCCCAATAGGAGCAGCAGCTCTGACTTAACACATGTCCTGAGGTCAAACCAACATTCACCATGAAAGGAAGAGAAGAGATCTCCCTCTCCCCTGCCGTCTAACTTTGATGCCCCATTTAAGGAATCCAACCTCATGTCCCTGTCCCGCCAGCCTGATCCTACCAGGAAAGGTACTCATATGTCTATAGGAGCTGATGGTTAAGACTGCAGAAATTCCAGATAGGCACTTCTATCTTTAGAGGTTTGGGAGGACAGAGCATATCTTCCTTTCCCTACCTTGTATTGTAGCCCCTTCTCTGTCCCTCTGAGCTTGGGGGAAAGAAAACCTCCTTGGGAAATCACCCGTTCGAATGAACAGACCAAACCATGCAATGGTTTCCAATTAGACTCAGCCAGAGCCCCAACCTCTTTCCCCACATCACCTCCCCCACCCCATCTCGACAACTGAGTCCTGAATGCTCTCTGAGGCCTGTGGGAGAGAGAGAAAGAAAGATAAATGGAGAAAGCCAAAGAATACAATTCATCCCACCTTGCTCGCCCACTTGGTCCCTCACCCACTGGGCTGCCGCCCGGATGCTTTCGGACTTGGTGACATCCAGTACAGTGGTCTGCAGACGGCAGGAGGTATCCTTCAGAAGCTTCTGGGCTCCCTCCTCAGTGAGGCAAGCAGCCAAGACCCGCATGTCCCGATCAACCAGCTGCCGGGCCAGCAGGTTCCCAAAGCCCGAGTCACAGCCAGTGATGAAGACATACTTCTCTGAGAGGTTTCGCACCAGGTTGCAGTTCTTGAACCAGCGGTACATAAAGGAGAGGTCCATATTAGTCGTTGTAGGGCAGGGGTGAGGTGATGGCCAAGAAGGATCAGGCCAGGAGACAGCCGAGTAGCTGGTCCTCTTAGCCCTAGCCGGTGGTCAGCTTCAACCTGCTGGGAAGAAGAGCTCTCCTCCCTTCCACTGCTTGCAACAGATGCAAGGCCCCTGGGTGAGCCACTCTGTAATTTTTATAGGTGGATGCACCAGCACACCAATTAGCCGAGATGCAAGAAATTCAAGTCCAACCTGAAGCTTTGTCACCTCTGGTAGCTGCCTCTCTCTCTTGCCCAGGCTTGGAGGCTGACGGTACCAAGTACAGGAAAGTCCCCAACAGCAATGTAGGTGGTGAGAGGTGGATCTGGTTGGTCAGTCCAGGGGCAAACAGAAAGGAGGACTCAGCCAAAATTGGCCCCTCCTGTAATACCTCTGCCCGACCCTACTCCTGAGCCAGGGATCAAAATCATTTGTCATTAGTGTAGGCATGTAAATAAATTTAATTTTTATTTTCAGGAAAAAATGAGACAAATTCATTAATGCAAAGCAAATAAAAATTGATTCTGTGCCCTCCAAACCCCAAGAGAAGTAAGTTCTAGGTCATCGGTTCTTCATATTCTCTGCCTCCGAGTGAGTCTAAGTTATGAGAGATGGTGAGAAGTAAAGGGTTTGCCCAGTGTGGATATGTTCCCATTGTTCTGTAGGTAAGAGGAAAGCTGGGAAAGGAAAGGAAATGAGACAGAGTGTGAAGTACTAAGGGGCCACACCCAGGATTGCATAAACTGCAGGGACAAAATGATGCTGGGGCCAAGGGTGGTTCCAGGAATCAACCTCCAGAGATTACAACACCCTACGCCTTTCCTGTCTAGAGGGTCTGACACAAAATTGGGGCCCTGTGTTGCCCAGAAGGGAGAGACTCAGGATGCATCTCTATACTCTATAATCTACAAAATGATGGGAAGCACAAGAATCAAATGAAGGAGGTGTCACCATGGAAGAGCCAGCAGGGCTTGGGCATTCTGTACCAAGGGTGACAGAAAGGAGGGTTCAGGTCAAGGACCCAGCCCTGAAAACAGACCTAAAGCTGGTGGGGGATAGAGGTGAGGAGTGGCAGAAGGCAAACCTCCCCTAGTTCACACCTGCCGAAGTCCCAGCAACTCTAGAACTGGATTGGAAGGCATCTCCCAGCCTGTCTACCTCCAGGCTGAGTGAATGGGGCAGGCTTGGTACAGAGAAGGCAGAGGGTCGAGCAGGTATTCCCAGTGGCAGAGGCTCTTCCAGTTCTGGAGGAGATGGGTGAGGCCCAGGGGGTGGCTGGGCTGGGGAAGAATGGCTCAGTGCTGACCCTACCCATGCCTGGGCCTGACCAGCACCTCCAGGACTGCTCTGCCTGAGCAGCACCTCCAGGACTGCTCTGCTGATGGCTGGCCAAACAGTGATCCCCTTGGGCCCAAACATCCAAACATCCAACATCAGAAAATGCAGTGTACATACTTGCAGGGGAGAAGGAGGGAGCTTCAGGATCCCGATAGAGGGCTCCTCCCCCAAGGCTGGGACAGCCTCCCACTCTTGGGTGACAGTCCTCCCTGATCAGTTGGGACCTGAGTCCTGAAGAGGACAAGCAGACAGTCACTCTCCCAACTCCCACCCCTTGCCCACAGGTATCTTCAGAGGAGGGGTGCCTTCACTCTCTCCAGGCCATTTCTAGCCTGTGAAATGGTGTAGATAGGCCACCAGCCATTGCAGATCCTGAGGAGATGGACAGAAGGCAGAGCAGATGGGGGGTGGGCCTCCTCTCCTCTGCTCATACCCTCCTCAAAAGTGTGGATTCCTCAGGGTGGCAGGAGGGCCTATGAGACTCAGATATTTCAGTAGTCACCCAAGACAACAGGGCAACAATGGGTGCTACTGGGTCCCTGTTCCTAACGTACAAAACTCAATTCTTTCCTCCTAATAGTACAGGAGTGCTGAGTAATGTCCCAGAAAAAGGCCAGCACATGCGTCAGTCGGAAGGGAGTGAATAGTGCTCCTGGAGACTTCAAGTCTCCCTCTTGCCATGCTATTACGCTCCCCCGAGTCTTCTCCTTACACATCACCCCAATCCTCTCCATCATGCACCCCAGTCCTGCCTTCACAGGACCTTGGCAGGCATTGGGGAGCTCAAAGTAGACCATGGCACCCCCCCAGGATGGTAGACATGTAGCTCACAGGGAGGTAGAGGAACTTGGCATCCCAACCAGCCGAGCACTGGGTTCAGGGGTAGCAGGCAGTCAGCACATGCTCCATGCAGTCCATCACCAAGGACAGGTTAGGTGAGCAGAATGTCTTCAATTATTTTGAGATCTGTTCAGGGTGAGAAAGGATCTAGATGTACTTGCACATCCTGCTCCTCCTACTCAAGGCTCTAATTAGAGAGGAAAGTTTCTAAGACTATCTGGGGACCCCAAGCCATGCTCCAAATTTACTCCAGCCTCCCTGGGAATGTCCCAGCCTTTCTCCGCAGCAGTTGTTCCACACTAACCGGCTCTGGTTCTCAGCCTGAGAATACCCGGACAGCACTAGGAATCTAAGTGTATGAAAACCAGCGCTCTCTAACAACAGTTTACTATGAGTCCACAGCTGTCTTCCCTCCTGGCTTCAGTTTCTTCCTCAAAATAATGAGGGGGTTCAGACGGGACGCCCTGTGCAGGAGACTCGTGGCTATGAAGTCTGGACCCAGGAATCTCCTCTGAAAGCTTTCTCGTTTTTTAGACCCTGTGGCTCCCAGGTGAGTGAGTCTCTCCCCAGGTGCCCCTTCTCCTTTCCTGTTTCTCGTAGGTGCCAACTGGCTCTCTGGAACTCCTGGACTTGTTATAGACTCTGGAAGGGAAAATGAAGGCCCTGGCACCCCAAAGTGGTCATAAACAAGAGTGAAACAGCGAGGGTGAAGAAAGCGGAATGTGGGGGCCCCTTGGGTATTCTTGGGTTGAACAAAAATCCTGGTTATCGAAGGAAAAAAAAACCTCAGTTTGTTCCAAGTAAACATGACCCTTCCCTTTGCAGGATTTGGATCCCAGCTTAGGATTTTCATGTTCCCTTGGCCTTCTCAGAGTTTCTAGAGCTCCTTCTTTCCTTCTCTGCCTTTTTGCTCCCCCATCCCTTTCTGACACCCTGGTAGGAGGGTCCTAGCAGGTACCCCAGGAAGTAGGTAAAGGCTGATTTGAGCTGGTCAGCCTTTGCCATGCTGCTGCAGCCTCCCACCTTGAGGACAAACTCTCCCAGGACCAGCAGTTGGCTCCCTGCAGATGACGTTTACACCTTGAGGTAGAGACTGGAAAACGGCCCTGTCTGTCTGTTCAGCCTGCATTCGAGCCTCTGGTTTCCATAGGAACTCTCTTTTGCCCCCTCCTAGTGCATCTCCTCCTCTTCCCTACTTCTGGGTCAGAGCTTCGATAAATGTGCACAGTGGGGAGATGTCCAGGGCAGAGAAAACCTGTCTTCTCCTGTCCCTGCCCCACTCTCCTAGCTCTCTGCCCCTCCTTGCCCCACGCTCTGTCCTGGCCTGGTAGTAATTGTCTTCAGCCTCACTCTGAAACCCCCTCAGTCAACAATTTTCATGAGGTCCAGTCTCTGGTCCTTTCTTTAGCCTTCTGAGGGGCAGCTCCCTCCTCCTTTCCATCAGCACTCTGATCCCAATGATTGAATCCCTTTCAATTACTAAGGTTGACAGCCCTCCCCGCTTGAGAGAGTTTAAGGCACACTGTCCCTGTTGTCCTTGTTGAACTGAGTCCTGGTGGCATCACTTAGAAAATAAAGCTGGGTGATGATTTCTGTTTTGAGAGTCTCGGTACTGAGTAGGCCAGATTCTGTACATGTGGCCAAGCAGGAGGGGCAGAGGACACCCAGGGCTGGGAAAGAGCAGTTTTAGGAGGTAATAGGGTAAAATTCCCACACCTACTGTGATGGTTAAGATTGTGTGTCAGCTTGCCTGGGCCATGATTCTCAGTGTTTTGGTAGGTGTATAATGTGATCACTTCTCTGTTGAGATTTGATATGTGATCACCGCCATGATGGGATCAGCTATGGTACTGGTGGGGGTGGGGCCTGTGGCAGTGCCGCCCTCTCAGCCTTCATTTCTCCACCCTCCACAACCTAGCTTTTCTTGCTTGCCTTGCCAGACCTTTCACTTGTTTAGATCCTGTAGCTGGCTCCTGTTCGTCTGACCTCTGGTTCTTGGGACTTTGTCTGGCCAGCCAATCTTGTGAGTTGTGGATCTTCAAGCCTGCAATAGCCCTGCTCTCTAGCCTGCCAATCTTGGGTTCGCCAACCCCAAAGTCCATGTGAGTCAAGAGAATCCTCTTTCCTGCCCCACGGACTTGGAATTTACAGCCTCTAAGAACCGCCTGAGCTATTTTCTTGCTGTAAATCTCTCTCTATATATGCTTTACTGGTTTTGCTTCTCTGGAGGACCCAGCCTGAGACACCTACTTTGTGTAAGTTGTTCCATTCAACCCTCCTTACCAACCCTCCTTACGGAGGGCTCTAGCACCATTCCCTTTCTTCTCCCCTTTATTTGTCTCTGTGGTCAGACAACCTGTTTGTGATCCACTACACCTTCCTGCCCCAGGATCTACTGTATAAGGAAAATGCTTATTCCTTTACACTCTTTCACCTTCTCTTTCTAATCCCAGAGAGAGTGATAGTGACTTAGTTTTCGCAGGAGTGAAATTCTGTGTGCTAAACTGGATTAAGAAACTCAGGCTCAGAGGGGCATAACAAGCTGCCCGAAGTCACACAGCTAGTTGGTGGCAGAACTGGGATTTGAATCCAGGTGTGTCTGGATTTAGAGTGTATCCTCCCAGTGAAAACCTGTGTATGGTCACAGAGGCTAGAGTCCAGGACTTGAGCCAGAAACAAAAGTAAGTACACACAGTTCTGTACTGAGGGGGCTCCAGTGTGTGTGAGTGTGTGCATTTGTGTGCATGTGCATGCATATAGATGTGGAGCAGGGAGGAGTGGACAGACTGAGAGAGAGTGGCTGGGAAGAGGTGACCTACTTGAATGCATAAG